TATCATCTTTAGGCTAAATGTTATCATCTTCAGGCTAACTGTTATCACCTTTAAGCTAACTGTTATCATCTTTAGGCTAACTGTTATCATCTCCAAGCTTCTATAAGCTAATTGAGTTTAAGCACCTTTAAACTAAATGTTTTTATATTCTTATTAAATATTAGCATCTTTAGGCTAGCTAACTGTAAATATTTTGTATAGGTAAGTACCTTCAAGCTAAACCTAATTTCATCATATAATGCCCTTTTTTTTATCCTTCAATATTTATTTTATTTCCATTATGATATGAATCACCTTTTGTAACTTTCGAATGTAAGATTTGGTACTTTTTGTTTTGTATTGCTATGGTTAAATAAAGTTAAAAAAAATAAAAACTTCAAGCTAACCGTTAGCATCTTTAGCCTACCTAATTTTAAGCACCATTGAGCTAACTGTTAGCATTTCACCTAACGGTTAACTGTTAGCTAACTGGTTTGAAACAAATTTACACTGAACTTTATAATCATTTAAACTACATTATTTTGATTCACTTTCAAGTTCATCCCATCATATGGATTTATTTTTCTGTTTCCAGTTGTTTTCAGAGTACATAAATAAACATATAAGCTAACTTACCAGCTCTTCATTCCAAGCCCAAGGTCTCTCTTGTAAATGAGTCCTCGAGGCTCAATGGGATTAACCTGTCTAAATAAAGGTTGAATGAAAGTTGGCAGCAGGCCTCTTCCTTTTTGACAAAATGGTACAAAAAGCTAATCTCCAGGAGCTGTTGGAGGTCATAACAGGACTGGAAGGAACAGGAATGGTCAGGGATGTTTGAACGTGATGCACTTTAATTAGGAAAACAGATATTTTGACACATTAGTTGTCATTCATGACCCAATCTGTTTTTATTGACTTAAGAGTCCATTTATTTTATTTATTTTTTTGTCATTATGTTATTTTATTAGTCAGTCCTGCCAAGGAAAATGTGGCATTTTTACTGATAGAGGTGGGTTTTAAATGAATCTTCATTACAATACAACTAATTTGCCCTCACTTGCTTTGCACGTCTAATTTTATCAAACACATTTCACAGCTATTATTTGTCCTGTTGTTCTGTATGATTTCTACATTTAGCCTGCCAGAGAGTACAAATCCAAATATTTTTGGTCTTGTGTCTGTCTTGCATTAATCCCTCCGCTTGAAGCTGGCGCTTCCAAAATTAACCCTAATCTCATCCCGTGTATGTGGTGTTTTCTAAGTGGGTATTATTAACAGTGGAATATTACACTCCAACAGCAAACAGCGAGGATGACTTTGTGACTGTAAAGTGGAAGGATGTTGTCTATGAGAGGAGCAGAGGAGATAAAAGGAGGATTATGAGAATAATCTTTATGACTCGTTTTTTCCTTGTTAATCTCTGGAGAGACACAAGATGCTGTAATTGACAAAGCCCAATAAAGATGTCAGCAAAGACACATTACAGAAGCACAGATGTTTTACTTGTCCTACATAACTTGAAGAATCCTCTCATTTAGGATAATGCTGCTGAATGTGCTCAGATCAGGATTCAACTCAAAGCGGACCAAGGACAAACACGGCTGGCGTGTTTCGTCCTGAAAATGACTTTGTGATGTCTTATATTTAAAAAAAAACAAAACATATATGATCACTTGGAGCTCTCTTCAGAACATCTCAGTTGTATGATGGAAGCACAAGGTTTATAATGTTTGTGTGTGCACTCATTTTCAAAATTAGGTTCATGTCCAACCTGAAAGATACATGTTTACTGTGATCCTGTTTATATTTATATTATATTTCCCCGGGCGCTTACAGCTGCACACTGCTCCACCTGGGTGTGATGGTCATTGTATGGGAACATACAACGATGACAACACAGCACTTATGGAATATTTAAAATGAGAAGTTGGAATAATATGAGAAAACGGAGAAACAAGAGGGGAAAAAACACAAAGTCCTCCAGACATGTAACATAGCTGTTTTATACTAACTTTAGCTTTTTCAGCTAATTCTACATTTTGATGCTAATTTCAGCTCTTTCTGCTTCCTTCAGGTAGTTTAAGCATCTTTCCATCTTTTCAGCTACTTTTTGTTAATTTCAGTTGGTTTTTTTTAGCTAATTTCCTAATTTTTATGCTCGTCGCTACTTATTTAAAACTAATTTAGTATATGTGTTCTTTCTGCTTTCATCTGCTAAGTTTGGCGTGTACTTCCATTTCAGCATATAGCTAATTTCAGCCGTTTTCAGCAAGTTCTTCTTCAATAAGCATTCACACTGCATTTTCACAGAAAAGGCAATTTCTCTAGATATTTATAAAATTCAGATTAAGTCACAGCAGGCTCCAAAAGACGAGTTAACATCCTTCCGTTCATAAACTTTAGGATTATTTCACCGTCTTTATACAGCATAAATGTGAGACGCAGACACTGTAAAACAATATTTTATTCAAATAAATGTATTCTGTTTATATTAAATCACAACTAGCTGTTTGCAGGAAATGTGTACTGAGGTCCATCTGGCAACAAGGACCAGGTAAAGATCTACATCTGCTCTTAGCAGAACAGGATCTTCACAGCAAACAGTGGATGAAAAATCTCTGCTTTCCTTCAAAGCACCCGTTGATCGGTTAAAAGAAACAAAAAAGTGCTTTATTGAAAGAGCCGCCTAATATATTTTCAAGTGTAAAGTTTATCAGCAGTTAATATCTTACCTGCTGCAGATAGCTCTTAAAGAAACATAACTCAGATCAGATTGAGGAGCGAACAGCTAGTTTGAGGTCGCTGCCTTTTTAACCTTTAAGCCGTCATTTTTGCATGAGATTATTACTTATAACATAAGATTATGAATGTAGCAGCCAGCAGTGGCACTTCCTGTGCAATCTGGGGAGGAATAGAACATGTTTGCCAAAATAACCACGTAAAATAAACGGCAGTGTAAAAATATTATAGCGGTTGGATGAAATGCTATGAAAGGTTTTAAACTAAAGTTAGGCTATTCCTTCACAATAAAAGTGAAACATACACAGTGTTTTAATCTGAAAATACTCTCAAATAATCAGAAGCTCAGAAAAATAGCTTACGGTAAATTTTTCATTATCTATGTTGTTCTCCGATGAAACTCAAACTTCGACCTGCATTAATAGGGATTTTGAGTACAGGATGTGTACAACTCCAGACATGAGTTACGGTCAATAAAGCAAATAAAAACTCATTAAAACCTATTTTGAAGAATAAAGTCATGATTAAACATTTGTCTATTAAAGGATTTTGCACCAACGAGGTTGATTCTCTGTTTAATTAAAAAATATTAATAATTTCCTTTGTTTTGAGTTCCTAACTGTTCGTTTTTAAAACACTGTGGTCAGTTTTTCATTATAATGTTATTTAAACTGAATTTTATGGTTATTAGCAAGAGCAAAGAAACAGCATTTAGCTAGCTATAGCATTTCCTGTGTAATCAACTAACATTTCCTGCAGGAAATCATAAAATATTCAATTAGTAAAGAAACTGATGGCAGAGTATTATTGTTTGCATACCTTTTTTTTTATTTAAGTATTGTAGCTGAAGTTAAATTAAAAAATAGATATATTTTAACTAGACTGTCGAGCTAATAGACCAGCCGTTAGCTCAGCAATCCGGTTGAAAAAATATATTTTTTTCAAACGGGGGTCATTTATAGAGCGATCTACAACAGGTAAGATATTAATTGTTCATAAATGTTCCACAGAACCCCACCTTATTTCAAAAGCAAGTCCCTTTAAATCAGAATGAGGAAAAAAATGAAATGTACTGTTGCTCTCGTCTTTATTTCCAAGGACAAATCGAACCTTTTGGCACCTCTCCAGTTGAACCTGAAACACCTTCGGCGTTGCTCGTTAAAAAAACAGAGGCGAAACAAAAGTTTTTGAAGATGATCCACAGCTGATAGACTGAACTCTGCGAGTGTTTGTGGGAAGTGAAATGGTGGAGGTTACTTTTCGTGTGTACGAGCACAACGATGCACCGCAGAGCTGCCTCTGTGTGGACCAGGAAGCAGCACAAGTCTGAAAACAGCTTTGAGTCTTTCTTATGAAGGGATTTGCTTCAGCTGAGTCCATTTCGTGCTGACCAAGGCTCACGTCACTGCCCAGCTGCCGTCGCCTCGCCGTAGCACCGTCAGGTCGATAACTACGATGCGCCAAACACTACAGGTTGGTGTAATACCGATCCCTGTTCATGTATTCTCTGTAGGCAAACTTTGCGTCCTTCTTGCTGTGCGGGATCCGTCCGAAAGGCGCGTGATCGTTGAAGCACGAGTCGAAGACCTCGTCCACGATTTTCTGCGCCGCCTCTCGGCTGATTTTTCTCACCGCGAGGATGGAACGCAAGGCACGGTCCCGGACGCACTCCTGTCAGAAAAGAACCAGGAAGTTCACTTTAAAACCAAATCCAGGGAGTTGAAAACCGCCTCCAAGGCCAGACTTGGCCCTGGTTTAGGTACCTGGTGGTGCTGCTTCAGGCCGAAGTTGAATCTGCTGAGCTCGTTGGTGAAGGTGCAGTCTCCACTCAGGTTCGCGGCTCGAATCTAAAGACGGCAACAAAGAGAGAATTTCAGGCTTTGCTACTGTTGGAAAAAGATCTGCGCACATGTTGTCAAACCGTTAATCACCTCAGAACAAGCCAAGTGTCTGAAGTTGTTGAACCAGTCCACGTGGGCCCGGCAGTGGTCGAAGGCGTGGATGAGCTCGTGTGTCACCACCCGGTTCATGTGGGACTGCTGGCGGATGTTGTTCTGACACAAAACGATCTGTGAACACAACCACATCACGGTGAGACGAGACGAGACGCAGCACAACGTGCAGGAATTTAAACATTTAGCTGACATTTGCTGAAGAAGCTAACCGATTAATGCTGCAAGAAGCTGAACACTAGCTGAAGGCCAAAAGTAGCAAAAGATTCACTTGAAGTTGGAGCTCAGATAAAAGCTGAAAGATGGGGGAAAAGGTCAGCTAAAAGCTAAATGAAGCAAATGCTAACTAAAAGATAAAGCTAGCAAAAGGATAGCTACAAGCTTAAAGCAGCAAAAGAAAGCTAAAATTAGCACACCACTATTTGAAAGCTAAAAAGTGGCAAAATGCAAGCTAAATGTAGCAAAAGGCAATATAAATGCTGAAAAGACCAACAAGAAAGTAATAAAGTTAACTAATGGTTTCAAAATGGTAACTAGAAGCTCAAGGAAACAAAGGGTTAGCTAAACGTACAAGAACATTACCTCGAAGCTAATACAGCAAAACACTAGCTAGAAACTAGTAGCAAATTACTAGCTAAAAGTTATAAAAGGCTGCCTAAAAGCTACAAAAACAAAGTTAACTTAAAGTTAAAAAAAATACCAAAGAAGCCAGTTAAAAGCTAAAGGCAACAAAGCAGTAGCTAGAAGCTACAAGTAACAAAAGTCTAGCTAAAGGCTACCTTAAAGTAGCAAAAGTCTAGCTAAAGGCTACCTTAAAGTAGCAAAAGTCTGGCTAAAAATATAAAAAGGAAAGCAAGAAGCTACAACTAACAAACTACTGGCTAAAGGCCAAAAGTAAAAAGGCTAGCTAAAAGAGGAGGCTGGTGAAAAGATAAATGTAGCAATTAGCAGGTACAAGCAAAAAGTACCAAAACGCTGGCTAAAAAGTAAATGAAGCAAAAGTTTAGCTACACGTCACAAAAGGCCAGCTAAAAAGTCAAGGTAGCATAATAGCAGCGCTAGAAGCTACAAGTAACAAAAGGTTGGCTAAAACTAAATAAAAAAAGCGAGCTAAAAATAGCAAAATGTTAAGTAGAAGCTCAAAATAACAAAAGGTTAGCCAAAAGTACCTGAACATTAGCTTAAAGCCAAAAGTAGCACAAGATAAAAACAGAATCCGTATGGTGATTTCTATGTATAAATACTGCAAATGTATTTGTAAATTAAGTTGTGTTTAAGTACAAAAGTTACAAAAAACAAAAGTCATCCACCTCCTGAATGAGCCGATTATTTTGATAAATGAACGGCTAAAACATCAAGTCTGTAGGCATGGATTATAAAAGCTTTCAGAAAAATAAAAGAACAGTCGCAAAGTGTGAACGCTGACTCAGCATTTCCCACCTGGGAGGTGCTGGAATCGAAGCCGCCGCTGACCGTCCCGTCGCAGTCCTCGCAGGAGAAATGTCGGTCTCTAAACACGTTGCTGCGTAAAGAAACTACTGTGAGTTTTAATCTTTACAAACAGAAAACATAGCTGCTGTTTTAACCCCCTGAAAGAGGGGCAGAAATACCATATGACCTCTGAAACACGGTGGTGGAAGCATCATGGTTTGGGCATAATCACTGATCAATCAATGAACTCTGAACTTTAAACCAGAAATTCTATGTCAAAATCATTTAAATATTTTTAACAGACACTAAAAGAGCAGAAGTTTATCATTAAAGTTTGTGTTGATTCCACTTCTTTGAAAAAAAAAAAAAAACAGTTGTAAAGTTTACAGTTCTGTTTATTTTTACACGTTAAAAAAGGCAACATGCTTTTTCTGAGAAACGCAACTAAATGCAAAACAAAACTGGATAGAAAAAGCTGGAAGAAGCAGAACACTAGCTAAAAGTAGCTAAACATCAGACAAAAACTAATAGTAGCAAAATATTTAAAAAAAACAACTTTCAAAAGGCTTGCTAGCAGCTACAAGTAACAAAAGGCTGGCTTAAAGCCAAAAGTAAAGACAAGGCTAGCTAAAAGCTAAAAAGGCAAGGTGCTGGCCAACAGCTAGATGTAGCAGAATAGTAGCTAAAAGTAGCAAACGGTTAGCTAAAAACCAAAAGGCCCGTAAAAGCCAAAAGTAGCATAACAGTATGAAGAAGCTATAGGTAACAAAGGATGGCCAAAGGCTAAAAGTAGCAAGAGGCTAGCTAAAATGACAAAAGGCCAGCTAGAACTACAAGTAAAAAAAGAAAACTTGGCTAAAGGCTAAAAGATGCAAAGGGCTAGTTTATAAATATAAACTTGCATAACAGTAGCTAGAAGATATAAGTAACAAAGGTTTGCTAAAGGCTAAAAGTAGCAAGAGGCTAGCTAGAACTACAAGTACAAAAATATATCTGGCTAAAGGCTAAAAGAAGCAAAAGTCTAGTTACAAACTTAAAGTAGCAGAACAGTAGCTAGAAGCTACAAGTAAAAGCTAGCTAAAAGTAGCAAAAGGTTAGATAAAAGCCAAAAATAGCAAACGGACGGTTAAAAGCTAAAAGTAGCTTAGCAGTAGCTAGAAGCTACAAGTAATTAAAATCTTGTTAAAAGCAGGAAAAGGTTAGCTACATTTTGTAAAAGGTAAACTAAGCAAAGGTGTGGAACAGAATAATGTACCATCCTGAGCTCTTCATGGCACTCAGGAGGAATTTGGCATATGGACCTAAAGACACAAAAAGGCAGCAGTTAGCTTCCCCATCAGTTAACACTGTGAGCTACATCAATAAACACAGTGCCAGTGTTCAGATATTATTGTGGAAACGTTGTCACTCTGGTGAAAACACCTGTGGAGTGTTTTTAAACTGATGTCCCTCTGCTGGTGTGACTTCCCCTTTAAAAAGCTAACTTAGCATCGATACTCACTAGTTTCCATTGCGAAGTGCAACATGAGCTGGCACTTGTGGTTCATTGTGAACAGGCTAGTTGTGATGAAATTCGTCATGGTCTTCTGTGTGTTTCTCTCTGGGGTTGGCTCGTATATATAATCCTCCTCTTTAGTCCGGTCCATGGTGGTTAAGCTAACGTTAGCTCACCTTGTACGCTAGCTTTAGCTAGCAAGAGCAGAGGTCGTTTACGGGTTTGGAGGATCACGTGGGAAAACTCAAATGGAAATATATATTTTAAACGTTCAATTTAAATCGTTCACACTGATAAACTCTTAGGTGTAATTGATCTTGCTGTATACAACAAAGCATTAAATTGTCGATTTAATTTTCTGGACGCAGTCTGAAGTTTAGCTTTAACGATGCTGAACACCAAACGCAACGCAATTCCAAGCGCTTTTCTAAAAACTTCTATCAAGCTAAATTAAAATGTTTAACTCAGTTGCATTGAAAATTAAGCGTAATGTACGGCTAACTAGCAGTTTATTACATTCGTAATTCGAAGACGTGCGAAGGAGAGCACATCATTTTCAATATAGACGACCTTTGTCACCGGGTAAAATGTTTGGAGAAGGCGTAAGTTTGTGAAGTTGAGCACGCGTACCGCATTTTTTTAAAACTTTTTTTTTTATTTCGATAAGACAAAAGTGAAATAATTGATCTAAATAAGTAAGAAAATTACGTACACGTTTGATAAAGTAGCAGAGAACTGACAGTAATGTTCGTGTAGGATAACACATCACTTCAAGAATAGACGATCTTTTGTTACGTCGTTTGCGCACGCAGCGCAAAGCCTGCTGGTATTTTGCTGTCATGGCTCCGAACGTAAACAGAAAGCTGTGAACTACGATAGTTTCTGTTGTAGGGTTTTGTCAAACTTAATTATTTTTAAACTAGAAAAGAAAAGAGAGGTATTTAATAAATTTTAAAGTAAGAATACGGTTTCACCCGTTTACGTGCTTACAAAACTTTGCAGCGTGTTTGGCTAACAGGATGCTAGTCAAGCTAGCTGTAGGAGCGTGACGCCGTAATTCTCGCGTTTTCCTCAAAAACTGGAGCATAGAAGCTAAAGAATCTGTCCAAAACAAATGTCTGTTTCACAGGAGGAGGTAGCATGTCCGGGGGAAACAAAGCCGTTGAGTTACAGCTTCAGATGAGACAAAACGCGGAGGATCTGCACAGTTTCATGAAGGAGCTGGAGAGCTGGGAGATTGACATCAAGAAGAAGGATGAGGAGCTGAGGACAGGGGGAGGACCGGAGGTTCTGGTATGTCTGCTGCTGTAGGAAATAAACGTTAAGATCCGTGAAGCTTTGGAGTCAGGCACCTTCTTCGTCCCTGTTACAGGAAAAACTCCCACCTGTGCGCAACAGAGACTACAAAACAAAAATGAGAGGAAAGAGGAAGAAGAAAGAGGCTAGTGTTGGTGACACAAAGTCAGAGGAGCCTAAGAAGGAACCAAAACTGAAATCTTTTGATTATCGATCATGGGACAAGTTTGATGTGGTATCTAACGGTTTGCATTTGCATCTTATAACTTGTGCTTACCTTTAATCTTAAAACAAAAAATGTCATTTCTCGCTTTGTTCGCAGGACAAAGCTCTAGCAGAAATGGATAAGGAGAATTCTCTCGGTGAGTCAAACGAGTCGGACTCTGAGGACAACGCGGTTGATCAGGAGAAATCTGTGGCCGAGAAGGAAAAGGTAAATAAAGATAAAAATAAGGGGGAGTTCAGTTACATTAACTGTTCAGTCTAAACTGATTGCTTTTATTTTTTTCCTCAGGGTAATCAGTTTTTTAAAGATGGGAGGTATGACGATGCCGTAGAGTGTTACACCCGAGGGATGGCTGCAGATCCGTACAACCCTGTGCTCCCCACAAACAGAGCCACCGCCTTCTTCAGGCTCAAAAAGTAAACGGCAGCTGCGGCCATCCGTTGTTGCAAAACGACATGGTGAAAGGAACTTTACAGATCTTTAGTTTGCGTCGTCAGGTAGCCGTTTAACAAAAATCATCTGATTTGACTTGTTCCACATACTTTGAATGAAGTTAAAAATCACAAAAAGCTCATTTTCTGCAGCAACAGCTACATTTTTGGGATGAAAAAAGTTTATTACTAATGAACAAACCAAAATTTTTTTTTGCCAAAATGCTGTTTTTTAGCTCAATTTTGCTAAAATGCTAGCCCAGAAAGAAGCTAAAAGTAGCAAAAGGTTATCTGAAGGCTAAACATAAAACAGTAGCTAAAAGTAACAATAAGTTAGGTAAAAGCTAACAGTAACAAAAAGCTAGCTAAAAGTAGTGTTAAAGACGGGAGCTGGCTGCGGGCCACCGGATCAAAACCATAGGACCAGTCTAGATAAAAATATCCAGCAGTAGCAAAGCCAGAGCTAAATGTAGCAAAAGGCTAGAAGTAGCAAACGATTAGCTGAAGGCGAAAAGTAACACTGTAGCTAAAAGTAACAAATTAGGTAAAATATAACTAACAAAAAGCTAGCTAAAAGTATCAAAGCTGAAGCTCAAAGTAGCAAAAGGCTAGAAGTAGCAAAAGTTAGCTGAAGGCTAAAAATAAAACAGAAAAAAATTAAGTTAAAAATAGTAAAAGTTTATCAAAAAGCTAAAAGTTACAAAGCGCTTGCTAAAAGCTAACTAAAGCAGATAGGTAGCCACAATCTAAAAGCAGAAAAACAATAGCTAAAAGTAGTAAAGTGTTGGCTTAATGTCCAAAGTAACACTACAATAGCTAAAAGTACTATTAAGAGTAAAAAGTAACTGTGTGAAAGTACCAAAAATTTGTCTAAAAGTAACAAAAAAGCTAGCTAAAATTTAAAAGTAGTAAATGCTATCTAAAACCTAAAAGTAGCTAAAGGATGATTACAAGCTATAAGTAGCAAAAGGATAGCTAAAAGTAGCTAAAGGCTCCCCTCTTCGTGTCTCCCTGCAGGTACGCTGTGGCTGAGTCTGACTGTAACCTCGCCATCGCCCTCGACAGCAGATACTTTAAGGCATTTGCTCGTCGCGGAGCCGCTCGCTTTGCTCTGAAGAGTTATCAGCCGGCATTAGAAGGTAGAAGAGCAGTTTTTTAAATTAACTTTAGCGCACCAAGACAACACTTTCACCTGTTTCTGCTCAGACTACGAGACGGTTCTCACGCACGATCCGGCCAACGTGGAGGCACGAAACGAAGTGAAGAAAATCAAGGAGGTGGGAGGAGATTCAGGGTCAGATTCACGACTGCGGTCTGGTTCTGGCTAACTCGTCTGGGCCGTTTCAGATCCTTGGACTTCAGGGCGTCCCGGGTGAGGAGGAGCAGCCGGCGGAGGCTCCGACGGTCGATCCCGATCAGCAGAGACGAGTGGAGGAGCAGCAGAGGAAACAGGAAGCAGTTATTTACAAAGACAGGGTACGCCTCGCTGCGGTTTAACAGCTACCTGACGAGCTTCGGCGCTGTGTTCCTACATGTGCTGTTGAACGTTCCACAGGGGAACGCTTACTTCAAGGAGGGGAAGTACGAAGCAGCTGTGGAGTGCTACACCAAAGGCATGGAGGCCGACCGCATGAACGTTCTCCTGCACGCCAACAGAGCCATGGCCTTCCTCAAGCTGCAGAAGTACGTCACGCTCTTCTTTATGACAGAAGGATGAGAAACCCAACTGCAGCCGGTCTTCTGCTGTGCTCATCCCGTGCTCTTGCAGGTATCAGGAGGCCGAGGAGGACTGCTCGGCCGCCATCTCCCTAGACCAACTCTACTCCAAGGCTTTCGCCCGCCGAGGCACCGCCAGGGTGGCTTTAAGGAAACTGGAGGAGGCCAGAGAAGGTCAGCGACGCCCAGCTGTGTCACCGCTCCTCCTGCACACGCTGGGATATTTTAACAGTTTGTCAAAATGTTTGGCGTGATCGTGAACAGTGTCATGACTTTTACTATTTGTAGCTGTTGTACTTTTTCAAATGTTTCACCTGATTCAAAAATAAATAGCAGAAAACCATTCAGATCAAATCATTGTTCCCCGAAATCTACCTCTGCATGTTCTTCCTTTGCTCCTGTTAGCTTTCAGCTACTGCTAGCCTTAGCTTTAAGACACATTTGTAATACATTTAGCATTTAGCTAAGGTTCAGCTAATTTTAGCCTTTAGCTACAAATTAGCTATTTTTTGCTTTTAGTTATGGTTGCTCATTTTTACTTTTAGCTACCTTTTAGTTGTTTTTTTTTTATAGTTTTGTTAATCTATGGTTTAGCTTGTTTAAGCTTATGTTTTGCAAATTTTATCTTTGTTCCAATTTTGCTATGTTTAGCTTTTAGCTATGGGTTTACTACATTTAGCTTGTAATTGCTGTTTTGCTGGATTAAGTTTCAAATTTGCTACATTTAGCTTTTAGCTACAGTTTTTCAAATTTTTGCTTTTAGCTGTAATTTTGCTACATTTAGCTATTGCATTGTTAATTTTAGCCTTTAACTACAATTTGCACTTTTTTAGCTACATTTTTTTCTTATTTTATTTTTAATTTACAGTTTTGTTACATTTAGCTTTTAGCTACTGGCTTATTATTTACCAGGTAGTTTTTTGTTACCGTCTGGCTAATTTTAGCTTCAAATTAGCTAATTTTAGCTCTGCCTTTTTTTTTTCTTGAACACCGTTTTGGCTTCTTAAGCAGACTTCAGTTGTCATTCAGCTCTCAGCGTTCACGCTCCTCTTGTCCTTTCTGCTCATGTACGTTGTAGCTCATCTTCACCGTCTCTTCTGCTGTTTTCGTGTCACAGATTTTCAGCAGCTGCTGAAGCTGGAACCAGGAAATAGACAGGCCCTGAACGAGCTCCAGAAGCTCCAGCTTGTGCGTAAACGGCTCCAGCTGTCAAGAGTTGTCACAGCAGAAGGAATATTAGCTCGCAGCTTATTTCGGCTTCTTTTTTTTCCCTGATGTCTTCTTCTTGTGTTAGGAGACGGGCTCCGGTGGTTGTCTTCAACCAGAGGACGCGTTGCAGAGAAGAACGGTCCAGCCGGTAGAGAAACCAGAACATCTGCGTTCAGCTGTAAGTCCGTAACGTCTCTGCTCTGTGGAGGAATCGGATCGCCGAGGTTTATTTTTCTCTCTCGGTTCTCAGAAACCTCTAAGGAGGATCCACATCCAGGAGATCAGCGGGGAGATCTTTGCACCTGAGGTAGAGGCGTCCATGTCGTTGGTCCAGGAAGTGGAGAGGAAGAGCGAGGAAGAGTCTCCTCTGTCCTCGTCTCCCAATGCCAAGATGATCAAAATGGAGGAGACGACGGACACCAGCACGTCTGACCAGTAGGAAGCGTTTTCATGGTGTCACTAAAATGACTATAGATCCGTTTGTAGGTGACCCGTTCTTCTGACCCTCTAGAGAACCAGTCCAGGAGGGAACCCCTCCTCCACCCGAACCATCCAGCACCCCCTCCCTGACGGAGACAGACCTGCCTCCTCCACCCACTAACGCCTTCCAGCTGGAGTCCGACCTCCGAAGGATCAGAAAGCGGCCCGAGCTGATTTACCGATACCTCCGGGTGAGCTTTGTGTCCCACGTCTCACCGCTGAGACGCTTCGAGGTCCAAAACAAATAAACGTGAAGGCGTTCTTCTAACTGAGGGTTTCCTCCTTTGTGGCAGCAAATCCGACCTGCAGCCTTCTGCAACATTTTCAGCACCTCCCTTGAGCCGGACGTCCTGAACGAGATCCTGAAGACGCTGCGAGACTTCTTCATGAAGTAAATCACCAAAACACGGAAAGCGTCTCCATCAGCTGGTTTTAGGTCTTATTTAAAGACCTTCATGTTGTTTTCCTGGTTTTTGTATTTTCCATTAGTTTTTTTGCAATCCAAGTTCCTCTGTGCTTTATGCCATGTTAGTTGTTCGTGAATCGAAACGTTCGGCTGATTCGGGACATGAACAGTCCGACTTGTTTTTTGTAGCTTTTATACCTTTGAACATATTTGACTTCATGTGGAAACATTTTTGCATTAAGATCTTTCAAAAAAAAGTTTTCTCTTTGAAAACCGCTTCAGGTGATTTGCTCAATATTTGTCTTCTTAACTTATTAGCTTTTAGCTCTCGTTCTGCTACTTTTAGTTTTCATCCACATGTTTTCTACTTGGAGCATGTAGCTGGACTTTTGCTAATTTTAGTTTCCATCTGACCTTTAGCTACGTTAGATTTTGAGGTAGACCTTTTACATTTAGCTACTGTTTTGCTACGTTTAGCTTCTAGCTAGTTTTTTTCTCTGTTTTTAGTTTTTTTGCTGCTTTGAGCTGTTTAACTTTTCATCAAATTGAACTTTAAGCAGATTTTTGATAGTTTTAATTTTTAGCTGCTTTAATTCAGCTTTTTGCTACTTTGAGCTTCTAGCTGTCATTTCTATTTTTAGGTTTTAGGTGCTCTTTTGCTACTGCTATGTTTTAGCTAGCATTTAGCTCTTTTTAGTTTTTACTTAGGTGAAAGAAAGAAAAAAAGCAGCAAATGCTATCAGCTTTTAGCTAGTGTAACACTTAATTTAGAATATTGCTTATTTTAGCTTCTTGCTACTTTAAGCTGAGATACCGTTCTGCTACTTTTAGCTTTAAGCTAACTTTTTCCTACTTTCTGCTTTCAGCCAGTCATTTTATCCTTTTGGCTTTTAGCTAACCGTCTGCTGCTTAAAATAGCTTTTTGCTGCTTTTAGCACCTATCATTTCTGCTTTTAGGTAGCATTTTGCTACTTTCATGTTTTAGCTATTTATTTATTTTTGTTACATTAGCCAGCATATTGCTTCTTTTTAGCATTTTGCTTTTAGCTAGTAGCATACTTATTTTAGAATAATGCATATTTTAGCTTCAAGCTAGCCTTTTTTAATTTTGAGCTTGTAGCTAACGTTTTGCTACTTTTACCTTCAAGATAGCTTTTTGATATGTGTAGCTTTCCTTTTTTCTTTCAGCTAGCCTTTTGATACATTTAGCTGTTTGTGAACCTATTACTGCTTTAAGCCAGCCTTTTTCTACTTTAGCTCCTAGCTATTATTTCTAATTTTAAGAAGCCCTTTGCTACTTTTATGTTATAGCTTTGTTGCTAGTTAAGCTAGCATTTTGCTGTTTAGATTTTACTTCGCGTTTTGCTACTTGTAGCTTTTAGCGAGCATTAGCTTACGGCTATTGCTCTACTTTTAGATTCTTACTTCTCTCATCTTTAAACTGGTGTTCTTGTAGCGTTAACAGCTAAGTTTTAGCTTCTTCAGCTCATTTTCTGTAAATGTATACAGCGCTCGGTGTTCTTGCTGCGTAATTTAATTTCTCAACAATCCCTTTTTTCTTTTTCCAGGAGTGAAGCTCCAGCCACCATCTTGGAAACCCTCAGCAGTCTGGCGAGCGTTCGGCGCTTCGACATGGCCGTCATGTTCATGTCGTCCCAGGAGAAGAAAGGTGCGGTGGTCTCGCAGAGCCATTTTCTTTTTTTTTAATTGCTTAAAATTCCAACGTGCCAATTATTCCTGTATTTTCTCCTCAGTACTCGAGGAGCTGTTCGACTTCCTGCTGCGCTCCGAGCTGGACCGACCCGCCGTCGCAGCCCTGCAGAAAAGGTACGGAGTCTGACGCTCGGACTCGGGAAGAATCTGCGAACCGAGGCGACGGAACAATCGGGTCTTCGTGAGAACGCAGAGCTGCAGAAACGTTCTGTTAAATAAATCCTGGCGTCGGCTGAACGGGTTCGGACCGGACGGAACCGTACGAAGGAAGACGGAGTTTCGGTTCACATATCGAAATAAAACAAAGTTTGTCTTTTTCTACTTTGTTTGTTGGTTTTTAATTTAAACCTGATGGTTCAGATCATTTGAAGTGGGGCGTTCTGTGGAAAGTCAATGTCTTACCTGTTGCAGATAGCTCCGATTGACCTCAGTTTAGAGAAATAGTTTAATCGTGACCGGATCGACGAGCTAACAGCTGGACCAAAGCGGGGTGCTGTCATTTTAAAGCCACTCCAGTAGACCTTTACATCACATTCGGTGCTTGTTTATTTTTGCAGTTATGCGCAAGCAGCAAGCTGTAGCACATGAATGCCGCCTGGTAGAAAAAAATTAATTACGAAGGAAAATTAGTTAACCTTTCTGTGTTTTGTTATTTACAAAACGGATGAAAACAAAAACTTTCCTTATCGTTTCATGTCAGTGCTGCATTAATGTGTTGCAGCCTGCAGCGGGCGACAAAGCCAACTAAAAATATCTAAAGTACTTCATCATAAACAAAAAATAAGGTAAATTTGTCTACTTGTGTTTGAAACACAAATATAGAAAATATTACTTTTGGAATAATACAAATTCAAATTAAATAATATCCCAAATAAAATACAATTTCATTGCTTTAACCAGGTTGAGTCAGGTGTTGAGACCGAGACCCCACAGTCCAAGAAAGCCTGCCCCACACGTTTTTTTATCTTTTGGATAAAAGACGAAACGTTTCAACAAGAATAAACCATCCAGAGGACCTGACTAAATCTTGTTAGATTTATCTACCTGGATTATTGAGCATGCAACAGGGCAATTTCATTTATTCCACTTCCTTTACAAATGGTATAATTTGGTATTTTAATCCTACAACGTTAGAAATGTTACCTACATGTATTTTTTTTTTTTACATTGTATTTAGCTTTAAAGCATCACATTTCTTACAGAACAGTAGTTGTACAAAAGTTTTCAATTTTTTTTCTATTATCTGGAATCCCGTTATTAAGTAACGAGTGAAGCCAACGGTAAAATTTACACCAGTCCCATTTATTGACATTAAAATAAAAACCACAGGCCAACTAATAGTTTTTATTATTACTAATACAGGAAGTCCAATTAAAACGTATTTCCGTGTATCTGTGAGAGAGTTTCGATCTCTTAAAGTGACGTTTCTCTGGAGTCTCTGTGGGGCCTGAAGGTCAGGATCTCTGTGAAAGTGTGGCCTACAAAAATCAAAAAGACAGAATCGCATTAATTCAGTTGTTTCTGTGCAACTCACTGTTGTGAAGGTTGTTAGCTTATCGCTAACAGTCTGACAACCGAGTCCGTTTAAAAACAGCTTTTAAAAGTTTAAGCTACTCTTTATATTTTTAGCTAAACTTTTGGTACTTTTCACTTTTAGCTAGCATTTTGCTAACTTCTGATTCTATTAGCTTTTAGCTCGGCTTTTGCTATTTTACGCCTCTGATTAGTCTTGTGATTCTTTTAACTAAACGTTCTTTTAGCCAGCCTTATATCTTTATCTTTGCTATTCTTTTTCTAACCGTTAGCTTTTAATAGGTTAAGTCTAGCTACATTCATGTTTTAGCTAAACTTTGATACTTTTACCTGTTTGCTAAAGCCTTTAGCTAGGCTTTGGTGAGCTAACCCTTTGATTCTTTTAGCTATGCTTTTGCTACTTTTGGTTAACCTTTAGGTGGTTTTAGCTAGTATTTTACTATTTTTAACTTAGTTAATCTAAAAAAAAAAAAATAGATGTTTAAGCTTTTATTTTGTTATTTTGCAATTTTTATGTTTTAGCTAACCTTCAACATTTTTACCTAAGGTTTTGCTACTTAGTCTTTAGCTAAACTGTTAGCTTTAACTAAAGCCTTTAGCTACTGTTAACAAACCTTTTTAAAACTTAGCCATTGCTATTTTTATTTTTATTTTTTTGCTTTTAGCCAGCCTTTAGCTATCTTTATCTTTGCTATTTTTTTCTAACTGTTAGCTTTTAATAGGCTAAGTCTAGCTACATTCATGTTTTAGCTAAACTTGGATATTTTTACCTGTTTGCTAAAGCCTTTAGCTAGGCTTTGGTAAGCTAACCCTTTGATTCTTTTAGCTATGCTTATGCTACTTTTGGTTAGCCTTTGGGTGGTTTTAGCTAGTATTTTGCTATTTTTAACTTTTAGCTAATCTTTAAAAAAATATATGTTTAAGCTTTTATTTTGTTATTTTGCAAATGTTTTAGCTAACCTTCAACATTTTTACCTAATGTTTTGCTACTTAGTCTTTAGCTAAGCTTTTAGCTTTAGCTAAAGCCTTTAGCTACTGTTAGCGAACCTTTTAAAAACTTAGCCTTTGCTAGTATTTTTTATTTATTTTTATATATTTTTTGCTTTTAGACAGCCTTTAGCTATTTTAACATTCCAGCCCCGGATATTTTCAACTAGTATTTTTTGCTTCTTTTAGCTTATAGCTAGCTGATAGTTTCTGTTAGCTTTTAGTTAATGTTTTACTTTATTTTAGTCATTTTGCTTTTTAAATTTTTAACTATTTATTTATATTTTTATCTGTTTTCTGGTTTTTTTTATAGCTTTTTAGTAGATTTTTGCTACTTTTATGATTTAGCTAGCCTTTGGGGAGTGGTGGCGCAGAGGTTAGAGAAGGTGGGCCCGTGATCAGAAGGTTGCCTGTTTGATTCTCTGGACTGACAACATCAAATGTGGGTGGGAAAGGTGAAGCACCTACACCTGCCTTCACCCTCATTTGCCCCACTCTGGGCCCTTGACCCCCACCATCTGCTCCCCTGGGCGCCCTAGATGCAGCTCTCTGCTCCACACAGAGGCTGTGGTAGCTCGGTGTCTGTGGTCGTGTCAGGAAAAACATCTGACATAAAAACAGTCGCCAAGTCTTCGTTGAGTTAGTTCACAGTGGCAACCCCTGAAGGAGGGAGCAGCCGAAAGAAAAAAAGATTTAGCTAAACTTTGATATTAAGTTAACATTTTGCTACTTTAGCATTTAGCTTCTGCTACTTTTTGCTAACTTTTTTGAACTTTTAGCATTGTTTTAGCTAGCATTTTGTTTCTTTTATGTTCTATTCACCGTAGATAGATTTCTTGCTGATTTTAGTGTTTAGCTGGCCTTTAGGTACTTACAGCTTTGAGCTGATTTTTGCAGCTTTCAGAAAGAATTTTTCTTCGGTTATGTTTTAGCTAGCGTTCTTTTAGCTTTAGCAACTCACTCTTCAGTTAAGTTTCATGCTGCGTTTTGGATGATCCAAACTGTAAAAGCTGTTTCTCGTTTTAAGAACAGAAAATTTAAATAAAACGGCCTCTTACGCTTCCACTGGTCCAGGGGCAGGTCGGTGTTGTCCAGGGTCTGATCGTAGGGCAGGGCCTCCGTCTCCTCCTCCACGTCTCTGAACTCGCTGAAGAAGGGGAGCTCGAGCGCCTCTGACGCACTCACCCTGCAGTCGGGGTCCAGGAGCAACATCTTCTCCAGGACACACACCGCTGCAGAGCACACACACATGTTAAAGTCGCCAAGCAAGCAGGACCGGCAGCTACAGGTGTATTCAGGTACCGTTGGGGCCAGCTTTGGAGAAAACGGCGTGCAAGTCTTTTTTTGGTACTTTTGGTAAGCTTCTGATGTAGTTCCTTGCCTGCTGACAGCAAAACCAAAAGTGAGGTTTGTGCGAATAGTGGACTTGTCATAAAACAAAACCAAAGGGAAAAGTTTATGCAGTCACTGGTCGAACATTTGGATCCAAGCCGACTCCGCCGCTCGTCTCTGAGGTCTTGGACATCTCTCAACTGTAAAAACGTTTCGTCTTCGAAGGGCGAATCTGGTGTGTCCCCACGGTTATGACTTACATCTTGGCTCTGCAGCTTCACGACAAAATCAAGAGTCGGGGTTCCTGTGACCTTCATGATCTCTCTTAACTGATCCAGGTCTGACGGTGGTCCTGGTTAAGAATCATCCATAATCAGTCACATGTAAGATATCTACTAAAGAGATTGGTCGGGTGTTTTTATAAACAAAATGCAACTTAAGCTCAAATGCAGTTGTTTACAAATCAGAGTGGGCTGATTGTGTTCAGAGTACAGCAAGACCACGTCCAGGAGGGGTCTGAGGGAAGGCGTTGTCAATTTAATGCTGTTTATTTGCAATCGGTTCACAAAGTACGGATTCAAAGTCCAGGTCTGACCTGGACAGTGGTGGGCACAGTTCCTCTAATCCACTAACGGAACAACAGTTTTCAATTAGCTGATTAATGTTTTCGCTATCTCTGGAAACCGTTAGCGGAATTAGCGTCCGCTAAATTAGGTTTTGCCAATTTTAAGTCCGTTAGTGAAATTCACAGTCTTGTTCCTGATGTGGGCGTGTCTCGAAGAGTCTGTTAGGCACAACCTTCGCTTACTAACCCAACAATTTTCAGTCAGGTCATCTGGATAGTTTATTTTTTTGCTGAAATGTTTCACCTTCCATCCAGAAGGCTTCATCAGTCTAGGAAACACACAACACAAAACTGATTCTTCCCCCAAACAGCTTACTTCAGAGTGTTACAAACCAGTTATGTTGGTGCTAAGATGGTGTCTTTGGCACGCCCCCTCCTCTGGAGCCGGCCCTCTTCCTCGTCGACAGTCATGTCAAACTGGTTCAAAACCAAAAAAGTCCATGCTCAATAATCCAGGCATACAATCCAACAATTTTCAGTCAGGTCATCTGGACAGTTAACATTCCAACATCACTGGTTTGTTCCACTTTGGAGTAAGCAGTTTGGGGGAAGAATCAGTTTTTTGTTGTGTTTCCTTGACTGATGAAGCCTTCTGGATGGAAGGTGAAACGTTTCAGCCAAAAAGAAAAAAAAAGAAACTGTCCAGATGACCTGACTGAAAATTGTTGGATTGTATACCTGGATTACTGAGCATGGACTTTTTGATTAGCTTACTAAGTGTACACGTGCCAAGACGTGATTGGTCGACGCAGCGGCAGCGAGCTGAAGGCGCGATAGTGGCTTACAACTTGTACTCGCGACTGGTCAACGCAGCTTCGACTAAAAGGAGATGACATTTTACACAGACTGAGTGACAGGCGTCGTAGCGATTTAACAGTTTGGTTTTAGCAAAGCTAATTCATTAGTTAGTGAAATATGTAACTTTTTGGTTAGCTGTACCACTGGAACTGGATCTGTTCTGCTGGATTGAGGACAGTCAAGGATACGGTCGTTCCCTTTAAACAGTGGTTTTCCCAGCAGCATCTCGGCCATGATGCAGCCTGCGGACCAGATATCCACTGCAACACAAAGCAGAACGTGTTCTTTCTGTCGTTCCAGGCTGTTAAACAGGTCTCAGTAGGGCTTTTACGTTCCTCAGAATGAGACTTTTACCAGTTTGTGAGTAGTGCATCCAGCTGAGGATGACCTCAGGGGCTCTGTACCATCGCGTCACCACGTAGCCGGTCATTTCAGCATCAGCCTGCCTGGCCAAGCCGAAATCAAGAATCTGAAATTGAAGAGACGGCAGAAATGTAGCGCATGAATTTCACCAAACCACGTGAAGATAGCTCCATATATTACTGAGTTACCTTTAGCTCACAGTCTGGGTTAATGGCTAAATTTCCAGGTTTAAGATCCTGTCAGAAAACAGAAACATTGAACTGGGTTGACTCCAAAGATTTCAGGGCTAATAAAAGTGAGTTTCTCACACGGAGAAGCCAAAGCAGCTGTGAAGGTTCAGGATGAATGAGGCTGAGTGTGAAAGAGAGAAAGACCCGGTTCCTAAAGCCTATAGTTTGAGAGGTCAAAGTTCACGCACCCTGTGGATGATCCCTGCAGAGTGGATATACTACAAGAGACAGAAAACAGGATCAGCTTCGCACAAAGAAATCCCCTTCCACCCCACAAAAAAGCCAATGTTTTTGGAGGAATCCCTTTTTTCTTTCACCTTGAGGCCTCGGAGCATCTGATAAACGAGGAACTGCACCCTGTCCTCAGACAACCTCTCCATCTTCATCAGCTTGCCGAGGTCGGTGCCCATGAACGGCATCACCAGGTAACTGTGAAGGTAAAGACCTCACTTTATATAAGGTGTGTGTGTGGGGGTGGTGGAGTGGGGGAGGGCGCAGAGGAACGTACAAATCCCGAAACCGATCCAGCGAGATCTCAGCTGTGAAAACATCCAACAGCCCGATTACCTGAAGAGGAAAAAAAACTTAACAGAATTTGTGACAAAAACAAACAATTCAGGCGACAAATCACAAAGAAAAACAGGAACTCTCACGTTTTCATGCTTCATGTGCTTGAGGAGTCGCAGCTCTCTGTAGGCCCTTTTGGCAAATAGTTTGGACTGGAAGGGCCGGTGGAGCTTTTTGATGGCGACCTGAGCTCCTGCGCGCCGGTCCCACGCAGAACTGACAGATTTATTACATAAATATTAACGTTAAACTTTAGATTTTAAACCAAGCAACTTCACTTCATGGACGTTTAGTCTCAAATGTTGCTATGTGCGGATAAAACGGCTCAGATTGGTGATGGAGGGGAGCATTCTTTGACTTTTTCTAAACAATGGGATGTGGGGGGGGGTCTTAACCCCCATCCAGACTCACACAATGGAGAGGGGCCGGCAGAGCCAGCTGTGCAGTTTTTAGCAGACTTTTAGCTACTATTAAATTCAAAAACCTTTAAATGAACCCAACAGAGTCTCTCCCCACCACCTCTAGGAGCTGTAAGGACTCACCACACGGTCCCGTAGGCCCCCGTTCCAACCTGCTTCAGGTCCCGGTACCTCTCCGGCACATCCCACACGGTCCTGTTCACCTCCTGATGGTAGAACCCTGTCCTGGAGCGCACAGCTATGGCCATACCCTACCGACAAGACGAGCCGGTGGGGAGGGGTTCGGTGTGTGGGGGACCCGGGTCCTGAATCTCATGAGCGAAAAAAGTCCAAGTTTCTTCAGTGGAAGGTTTGTGCTGCAGTCAAGACCTGAAGCAGAAACTGTTTGGGGCAAAATTCCTCCAGATGGACCAGCTGATCTCCCCCCCCCCCCCCCAACACATAGTTCCTTATTCACATTGTTAGTTTGGCTCCTGGTCACCCTGGGCAGTCTATGGGTGTGTCTGCAATGTGTCTACATGGGAGGAGGAGGATGAACCAGAACATCTGCCCATCTAAACTCAGACACCCCCCCACCTCCAAAAATCCATTAAAAACCGCAGTGTTGAGAAAAAACAAACACATTTTGCTTAAAACGCCTCTTAAATGAAAGCACAAGTGTCGGAGGCAAAATCCTTTGAATAAAATGAAGGTAACTGTGACCTCACTTTGAAGGAAGAAGCTACAGGTTTAAATAAATTCAGTCTGTTCTTTGCAAAGTTTTATTACCTGTCGGTTAAATTTCAAGACTCAAAAGAGTTGATTGGGGAAACAACAAATACAAAAAATTGCGCTGATAAATACAAATATGTTTGTCAAAATTTCAGATGATAGGTGCAAAATGAAATACGTAATAAAATCAGAGAATAATAACAATGGATTTAAGTTCCATGTTCACAAGCTAATGCACCTGCTCATTATGTTTTATGCCAAAGCTTTTTATTTATAGGCAGAGTTATTTGGACAGTATAAGCTACAACTACTGTATACTGTTATATATTATAAAATTACTAAAACATAATATCCTATACCTGAATATACTACACTCTGCTATACTATGACTTTATTGTGCTTTATTATAGGACTATACTATACTATACTATACTATACTATACTATACTATACTATACTATACTATACTATACTATACTATACTATACTATACTATAAACTCAATTCAAATATACTATACTATACTCAAACATAATATTCTATACCTGAATATACTATACTCGGTTATACTATCACTTTATTTTGCTTTGTTATCACTTTTCTATACTGCATTATATTATACTATACTATAAATTCAATTCAAATAAACTATACTATACTAAACTATACTATAAATTTGATTCAAATATACTATACTATACTATACTATACTATACTATACAGTGCTATACTATACTATACTATACTATACTATACTATACTATACTATACTATACTATACTATACTATACTATACTGTTGGGTCAGTATTTGCTAGGGTTCAATTTTCTGGGCTTGTTATCATGATTTTGAACAAATGCAATTACAGTACATAATTTCAATCTTGCTTTGTACAAGCTAATTTTGTCAAAATGTCCTGAGAAATAGAGCTCTTGAAATTATTACCATAAACTGGAACTACACAAGGAACAAGGGTCCTGTTGGAGCACTGAATTTCTTGGATTTAGGCTGTTCAGTCCAAATCATCATACAAAAATCTTAAATCGGACAATTTAAGACACCAAATGGACGTAATTTTTGCATTTAAAAAAGACCGATACAAACATAAACAATTGGGGCAAAGACAAATCATTGAGTTTATTCCGCTGAGACCAAAACATAAAAAGTTACATACCTCTATCATTTCCAAACTTAGAGCAAACATTCAGTTTAGTAATCTGAAACGCATACAAATGAATCACATGCCAACATGTATTCAAAGGTCACCACTAACTTATAACATACAGTACACTCAGTATAAGTATATACATTCAGTTTTTATTTGCTACTCGAAACCATCACATGTACAACATTCAGATAAGCACAATAACATTCAGAGCTCCAACACACTCCGAGACAAGTTTGATTTACCGGGACTGTATTTTAACATGTTGAATCCAGTAATAGACTCCTTATGTAAACAACTATTTGTAGCACTTCAGGGTTGAGAAAGAAATTAGGAAAAAAGTGAGATTGTACTTTCATTCGATGTTCTAGTAGTGCAAGTTTCAGTGAGACAGAAAAACTTTGTTTGGTTGAACTTAAGAGCTTAGACATGACAGTTAACCAGAGGACATAATCTTATACATTAACATTTATTGTGGTTTGTATCTGTTTATATCCAAAATGGAACATTTATATTTGTATTACAACTGATTAAATTCAGTAGGAGTTGTCGTTTTGTCCCTTGTGTCGTGTTTATGTCTGCGTTCCCCCGATTCTCTCTTTCTCTTTATAGGGTTTGTGTTTCTTTAGTATCTAGCCCCATCTTGTGTCGTGTTCATGCCTTGCATCCTCTATCTCTTTCTCTGGCATCTGTGATTACTCACAGGTGCCTTCACTTGGTCTAATTAGTGTTTCCTGTATATAAGTCTGTTTGTCTGTGTTAGTCCTTGTCCTGGCATTATCTGTTCACTAGTGATGACTCGTCTGTATTGTGAGTACTCCACTGTTCAACTGTTCATTATATGTTTGTTTTGCTGCCCTGTCAGATTTTTTTTTTGTTCTGTTAATAAATTCTTT